AATTAAGATAATCTGGTGGTGACAAAACGACTACACTGCAATATCCAGATCTTGAGGAATCGGTCAACCCGGAGAGCTTCTTTTTGTTCCAGGCGATGCATCGGGCAAAGCGGTGCCTGAAAAAGAATTTCAAACAAAAATAATTGACATACTGCAATATGCTGAATTCGTAGGGTTGGGCAGAACCCCCCCCCCCTCTCGCACCTCACAACGGGATAGAAATGCGTGAGACTGATGTGTGTGGACTGAGTCTGGACGGGACTGGGACCGGCGGTGGACAACAGATCCCCCGAGTGGAGGCGGTTCCTAAACAACTTGACACGAATGAGAAACAAGAGAGTATAAATTCAAGGGTCCAAAGTGGGGGGAGAGCAGAGGATATGAAAACGACTCACACCCAAACTAGAAGAGCATCATGGTGCCAAATCACGGGGAAAATAGCCTTCCATGGGGAGCTATCAGTGAGCGCAGACTAACACTACTTTGTTAGGAGAAAATTCCAAATGAAAATGAAGTCTCAGTAGAAATAATAGTTATGATTTTACTTTCATTTTATTTATTGGTTATACTATGATACATAACTCTTTTAGGAGAAGCATTCGGTAGATCACTACACGTTTGCAAGTCAAGTTATCCGAGTATTAAATCAAGATGTCCGGTTATCATTTCAAGTTGTCACTTCAAGTTGAAACGATATACAGACATCCTGATTTGATGTTCGAACAACGTGAATTGGAAAAGGTATGAAGAAGATCCGTGGCGATGGTGGAATTTAAACTAATTACTTCGATGACGGTAATCAATTGATCACTGCCATAAAAAGATACAGTATGCTTTAGTCACTAACCACAGAATACATGGCTAATTAAACCCCGGTCAAATGATAATGAAAAAAGCAATCAACAGCATCTGTAACAACGCAGTCGTGGAGAATGGCGATATGACGCGAAAGATTTCAGCCCCAAGAAATCCTAAAGAGCACCTAACCAGTTGGATGAAGAGTTCAGTCACGTAACTTACCGGAGCGGATAAATAGATGTTACAGTCGGGAAGTTGACTGTCCTGAACAGATGACCCTGAATTCAATCGATATCCACCAGTCTCATAGATCAGTTAAAAAGCTCATTTCTTCAGGATCTACCTAAAGGACTGAAATGAACAAGCAGATTAAAGAAATCGCAACTAAGTGAGTTTTTCTCATTGATTATTTGAGTACATCCATGCTTATTTGGAAAATCACATTTCTGATGCTATGTAATGTGATAACTGAATTCGTACCAAACGTGAGACAACTGTAGGCATTCAAATCATTTCCTCAATTGATGGAACGTTTATCAGTCATCAAAGTATTCTATATAGTGCAGAATAATCGATATCTTTCTGACTACGTCGATTTCGCGGGACGAACATATTTGGAGGAAGCTTGATAGACTGAAGGGAAAAGTGGATTAATTACAATTTCGCAGAATATCATAAAATACGTAATCAACTGAACGGCCAACGTTTGACCATTGAAATAACCAAACTACCAGTAAGTATGTTTATCCAACAATCGATAAACATCCCAATTTCACTGGCAACGCAGCCATCCATCTTGTCTGAACCGGGTGACAAAACGAAAAGTGTAATGTTTGATTTATCGGGCTTACTCTGTAAGAGAAAGCTGAAGAAAAGGGGGATCATGCCCAAACAACGTTTTGTTGACTGTTATATTTTTCCTTATAACACAAGTGGCCACGAGAAGAAGTCCGACAACGGAGGACACTTAAACAATTAGGACCAACAGGCTGAGGTTAATTTCGATTACTGTTGATTTGATTCTTTCCGACTAAACACAAACGCCATCCGACAGTAAACCTCTCCAGAAGCGTGGTCATCGGCTTGATAGGAAATCATCTCAGACATT